AGAGAAAAAAACACGGAAAGAAAATAAAGAAACAGAAAAGAAAAGAAGCAATTACAAAAACAAACCCTGATGCAGATTCACACCGGACGAGTTTCATCGTTTGGAGAAAAATCGTCGTGAATTTGCGTCGGAATTTTGAGTTTAAAAATGACAAATCAGTAAAATCGAGTGATTTACAGACTTTTTTGTTTGTTTTTCCCATGTGAACGATTAAAGAAACGGAGACATGAGGCGGGAATCTGCAAATTCTCAGACGTCCCCCAGGTTTTATTTATTTATGTATTTATTTTTATGTATTTATTTATTTTGGGTCAGTAGAGATTTAAATTCAATGGAACATGGAACATAAATGAAATAGAAATAAAAATAACTACAAAAAAAAAAAAAAAAAAAAAAGAAGAAGCAAAAAAGCAGTTGGAAGAAAAACACTTATTTAATCCCACATAAAAATAAATGACACACTGTGCAATCTAAATATCATTTGAACTCAATTTCTTTTTATTTTTTTAGTGTTGTTCTGTTTTTTGGTCGTACAAACTAATAATAATAATAAAGAAGCTCAGAAGTTTTTTGTTTATGAACATACAAAAAAAACAACAAAAAAAACACGATGAGAATGATCAAATGTAAGGATTTTTTTTTACCTTTTTTTTTTTTTACATCTTGTTTGGCCCAAAACTTTTTAAAACTGAATGAAGCAAAAACTGATGTGACTCTGTTTGGATCCAGTGTCCCGTCGATTTGAGCTCCCGACACAAAAGAACAGAAAAAAAAAACACGTCACATTTTTAGAAAAGTGTTTAGTTTTTTTAAATTGTTTATTTGTTCCAGTGAAACGTCGACGTGTGTTTTGGATTTACAACAGAAAACCAACGTCAGACGATTGAAGAGTTTAGATTTAATATTTGATTTGATCGTTTTCTTTACGTCGTGTTTTATTTTGTGAAGAAAACCTTGTAACTTTGTGATATTAGTGTTAATTATGATATATTTATTATTATTTATTATTATTTATTATATTTGTGCAGCATTTTGGAAACGGTTTTGTTCATGAAATGTGCGACAGAAAAACAGTGGATTAAATCAGTGATGTCATGAAGTGAACGGCTCCTTTTACTTTAGTTCAGGAAAAATCAGAAACTCCAAGAAACTGAAACGATAAAAAAGATTTTAGTGAAAGTGTGAGGAGAAGTTTTCAGTTTGAGAAAAGAGCTTCTGTTAAATCTGCAGTTTGTGTTTTAAACGAAACACAAAAGTGAGTCCAGCTGTTTGTTTGTTTGTTTGTGACGAGGAAACTTCAGAACAGAATTCATAAAATCGTGACTTTTGTGTCGTTGAAAAGCTGAATTTACGGTTATTTAGTTTTTTATTTAGATATTGTGAAATATTTACGGTGTTTTTTGTTTTTCCCGAGTGTTTAAAAACCCGAAACGAGAGAAAGTTTGGAGTGAAAAAGAAAAGAAAGTTTAGTTGGTTGAGAGAGAAAAAAAAAAGAAGTGTGTTCCTTCTTTCTTTCTTTCTTTCTTTCTTTGCTGAAGTTGAACCTGCAGCTGTTCAGTCTGAGTCTCCCTGGAATTTACAGATAAAAAGAAAAGTTAACAACTCAAACTCACCGCAGAAGACAGGAAGAGAGGGAGAGAACGGAGGAGAGGACGGAGGGAGGATGGAGGGAGAGACAAGAGGGAGAGAGAAGGAGGAGAGAGAGAGAAGGAGAGGATGGACAGAGGCATGGGGAGAAGAGAGAAAGAGAGTAGAGAGACAAAGGAGAAAGAGGGAGAGAGAGAGAAGACAGAAAGAGGTGGAGAGAAGGAGAGAGAAAGAGAGAGAGAGGATGGACAGAGGCATGGGGAGAGGGAGAGAGAGAGGGGAAGAAGAGCGAAAGAGAGGAGAGTGAGAGGAGAGAGAAGGAGGAGAGAACGCAGGGAGAGAAGGATGGAGTTAGAGACAAGAGGGAGAGAGAGAGAGAGAGAAAGAGAGAGGACAGACAGAGAGAAAGAGAGGAGAGAGAGAACAGAGAGGGAGTGAGAGAGAGCGAGAGGAGAGGGGGAGAGAGAGTGAGAGAGGATGGACAGAGGGATGGGAGAGAGGGGTTAGAACTGAGAAAGAGAGGAGAGAGTGAGGGGGGGGAGAAAGAGAGGGGATGGACAGAGGGAGAGAAAGAGGGGGAGAAGAGAGAAAGAGGACAGAGAGAGCGAGAAAAGAAAGAGGGAGAGAGAGAGAAGAGAGGGACAGGGAGGAGGAGGAGAGTGAAAGAGGGGATGGAGAAGAGAGAGAGAGAGAAGTGCAGGAGAGCGAGGAGAAAGAGAAAAGAGAGAAGGAACGAGAGAACGGAGAGAGAAAACAGAGAGGATGAAAGGGCGACAAAAGAGAGAAAGAGAGCAGAGAGAAAGAGGAGAGAGAAGAGATAAAGAGGAGGAGAAGAGATAAAGAGGAGAGAGAAAGTGTCCTGACTGGAGCCAGTGTCCCAGAGCTGCTGTGATCCCGTCGAGCTGCTGCTGCCCCCAACAGGACAAACCAGGAACAACACCAGGAACAGAAGGAACAGAAGGAACGACAGAAGGAACGACAGAGCAGAGGAAAGTGCTGATCCAGCAGATGGAGGGAGAGAGGAGGAAGAGAGAGAGGAGAGAGAGGAGGAAGAGAGAGAGCAGAGGAGGAGGAGGAGAGGAGGAGGAGGAAGAGAGAGAGGAGAGGAGAGAGAGAGAGAGAGAGGAGGAGAGGAGAGAGAGAGGAGGAGAGAGAGGAGGAGGAGAGAGAGAGAGAGGAGAGAGAGAGGAGGAGGAGGAGGAGGAGGAGAGGAGGGAAGAGAGAGGAGGAGAGAGAGAGAGAGGAGGAGGAGAGAGGAGAGAGAGGAAGAGAGGAGGAGAGGAGGAGAGAGAGGAGGAGGAGGAGGAGGAGGAGAGGAAGAGGAGAGAGGAGCAGGACAAAGAGGAGAGAGAGGAGGAGTACACACACCCTCCCCAAACCCCCATCTTTTTTAAAAAAAAAAATTAAAATTTTTATTTTATGTTTTTATTTTTATTATTTTATTTTTATTTATTATTATTATTATTTTTTTTTATTTTTTTTTTTTCTTTGTATGTGTGCTATTTTTATATTTAGTTTTGTGTGTTTTGTTGTTGATGTGCTGCGTATTTAATCCCTCAAACTTGACAAATTATAAATAAAAAATAAATAAAAAATAAGACCTTTAAGAGAAACACCAGTGGTCAGGACAGGTGCAGGACAGGTGCAGGACAGGTGCAGGACAGGTGCACAGGTGCAGGACAGGTGCAGGCAGAAATACAAATATAAATAGTCACACACAGAGTTACTGTCATGATTTCCTGTTTGCTGTAGAAGAAAAGAGTTGAGGAGCACAAGAGGTTTTTTCTGAAGGTTTAAGTTGTGTTTCTACTGCGACGTCAGACACAGACACTGAGTCTGAGGGACGGACAGTTTTGATCCAGTGGAGGACGACAGGTGTGAGGCTCACGTCCCACAGGTGGATCAGTACAGAGTCAAACAACAACTGAAGTCATGAAGTTGAACTGGGACAAGTTTTTTTTTACTTTAACAACAACAAACATAAACATTCATTAACATCATTTTAGGAAATAACAAACTTCTTCTCCTGTTCCTCACATGAAGCTCGTTTGTCCTTCAACTAACATAAAACAACATGACATCAGTTATAGTTATAATGTCAGAGTAAAGTTGTTTTGAATATAAAATGTGATATTTTAACTCTTTGACAGTTAAATGTGTGTTGGAGTTGGGTTATTTGACAGAGTTGATTTGGTTCAAGTTAATTCAACTTCTCTTAGTGTTTTGAGGAGAAAATTCAGTTTGTCGACTGGACAAAAGCTCAGCCAAAGATGTTCATTTTGTCTTCTTTTCTACTTTAACGTCTTGGGTTCTTTTTAAATTAATACAGTAAAGTGTATTTGACTTGTTGTCGCTGGTGTTGGTGGTGACGTGTCGTACATCAGCTGTTGAAACATGGTAAATACACTTTACTGCTTTGTCTTTAAAAGGAAGAAGTTAATGGACAAAAGTTCATCCAAGCTGCTTCTGAACTGAAGAAGCAGTTTGGATGAGCCCAGGAAAGTCTTCAACCAAACTAACTTTTGTCCAGTCGACAAACTGAATTTTCTCCTCGTGGACGACTGAGGGACTGAACCAGGCCACACCGGATTCTAAAACCTGATCTCATCAGATCTCAGAAGCTCAGCAGGTTCAGGTCTGGACTGGGTCTGGGTCTGGGTCTGGACTGGTCTGGGTCTGGGTCTGGGTTTGTCTGGGTCTGGGTCTGGGTCTGGTCTGGGTCTGGACTGGTCTGGTCTGGGTCTGGGTCTGGGTCTGGGTCTGGGTCTGGGTCTGGGTCTGGTCTGGGTCTGGGTCTGGACTTGGATGGAGACTCTGGGAAAATCAGGGGCCACAGGAGGCGCCAGTGGGAATAACTGTTGTTGTGTCCTTAGGCAAGACACTTCACCCATATTGCCTAGTATGAAAGTGGTGTGTGTGTGTGTGTGTGTGTGTGTGTGTGTGTGTGTGTGTGATGGTGGTGGTCGGAGGGACCGATGGCGCCGATTGGCAGCCACGTTTCTGTCAGTCTGCCCCAGGGCAGCTGTGGCTACAACAGTAGTTTACATCAGCAGGTGCAGAGTGAATGAAGAATGTTCTGTAAAACGTCTTTGGGGACAAAAATCTCTGTGAAAAGTGCTATAGAAATAAAAGACTTACTTACTTCCTCTAGTGTTAATTCAACTTCCTCTAGTGTTAATTCAACTTCCTCTAGTGTTAATTCAACTTCCTCTAGTGTAAATTTGTCTCCTCCACTTCAAACTCCCTCCAGAGAAGAACCAGTTTGAACCAGTTTTGTTCATAATTTCATCTCAAATAAAGTGTCAAATTAAACCTCGTCTGTGTGTTGAGTTAAATCAGAATAACTCTAGCAGGTGTTGTCCGTTTCCTCTGCGAGTGTCGATGTTTAACGGTGTTTTTCTCGTGTTTTGCAGTGGTACTTGGGATAAGTCTGTGAATCGCCGCAGTCTTCTTCTTCTTCTCCTCAAACTGTGACGTTGACGCCAGCTGCACCAGTGAGCCTCCCTCGCCCTTTAAACAGCCGCCATTTTTCCTCCGAGACTCTTCCGACCGACTCAGCATCAGCATGGCTCCAGCTTCACCCGAGGGGGGCGCTGTTTACCCACGTTTAGTGCCAGTGACTGTCAGAAACCCAAACAAACGGGAGGCGAGGTCCGACCCGGAGCCTGACGGACGCTGAACCCCGCAGGAGTCCGACCCAAACCCCCGGAGCGGCCGTGCGGGCGCCGTCCGAGCTCCTGCATTTTCACTGTTGTCCTGAACGTCTTACTTACCTAAAAAGGAAGGACAAAAAAAAACAAACAAAAAAAAAAAAACAACGGCTTTTCCGAGAGAACGGTAAAAGCCTGAATCTTTCCGAGCGGACACGGACCTTTGCGGAGAGATGTGAATGAACTTCATGAGGTTTGAGTTTTGGGCAGGCGGGAATCGAACCGCAGACGGAACTCAGAGGGGGACAAACCACAAACCCGGAGCCGTTTTGTTTGTATCTCCACGTTACAATCACGCCGCGCGTTCGACGCCTGTTCTCAGCTCAGTGTAAAAAAAAATCATCCTCCCATAAATTTTATATGCAACCTGCGAAAAACCAAAGGCCCCTCATCGTCCCGACACGAGCCCTTTACAGACGCCATCGTCCCTCACGCCTCCGCCGCAGTTTTCACGGAAGAACTCAGAGCGACTTCTGAACGTACAAACACGAGGTCTGCGGGGGTCACGACGAGGCCGACGCTTACGCTTTTAGAACACGAACCTCCACAAAAATCCAAATAATCAAACCAGTTACTCTCAAGGAAAAAGTATAAATTAAGTTTTATTGTCGTTTTTAATTCATCTTTTAAACTCGCTCACGTCACAAAACCGGAAAACGTTTGGAAACATGCGAACGACGACTTTCTTTGGGCTTTGTCGCCGATAATAACTTCAACAAAATCTGGAAGAAATCTGGGAAAACAGACCAGTTTTCTTCATCTAAATGTCACTGTTCTTTCTTTTTTTCTTTTCTAAATCACCTATTAATTTGTCTGTTAGAATTGGTCTAATTTATAAAAGTAATTTTTTTTTTTTGTATAATCAAGGTTTACAAAGTACAAGCCTCAAAGAACAATACAAAACAAAAAGCATAAAAACAGCAAGAAATGAGGAATAAAATCAAGCTAAAACCAGTTATAGGAAAACCAATCGATAAAAATTAGTCTTAAAAAGTGATTTAAAAGGTGAAAGAATTTTTAAAAAAGAAAGATAAAGATGTCGCAGTAGTTTTCCGTTCTGTTCGGCAGATGGACAGGTCCAAAAAGCTGCTCGTACGAGACGTCGAAACCGCGAAACCGTGGAAAGTTTTGGCAGTTTGTGAAGACGCTGCTGCTGAATCCACAGTTTTATTGTTTTATCTCATGCCCAGAGTCGTCATCCACATGTTTCCAAACGTCTTCCGAGTGTCCGTACGGAAGTGACGAGGTAAAAAACACTTTCAGACGAATCTCGAGCTCAGATTGTTACGTTGCCCGTCCTGACTCCCGCCCCCGTCGACGTCACGAGGTTTAAGTCGTTAAAAGTTGCAAAGAGTTAAACCGTCAAAAACTTCAGTTTATTCCATGTTACACCTGAGGTCCCATCGCTGCCGTCGGACGCCCGCACAGAGAGAACAATCAAACGCTGGCTCCCCCCTGAGCCATGAGTCAAAGCAATGCAACGGTGCGTCCTCCTCTGAGCCACGTCTGCGGCTCCGGCCGATCGTACGGGTTTACGGCGGATCAGGTGGTTTCGTCTTGGAGGCTTCACGGCTCATTCTTTTGTCCATCTCCTTCTGACCAGGGTTCCTCCTCCTCCTCCTCCTCCTCATCCCAGCGCCTCCATCTGAGCAGGAGTCTCCAGGCTGTAGACACCAGGTTCAGGAAAATTGCACTGAACAGAACTGGAATTTTTAATTGGGAAACATTTGCGTCTTTTGCTGTTTCACTCTGCGAGAGCCGCACCATAACAGAGATCAGGAAGTGTTCCATTGAACCCGACACGTTTTAACCAATTTGCAAAAAAAAAAAAAGCTTTCAAATCGTTATTTCCCAAACGTGGCTTGAGTTCGCTGAGAAGAAGATCATTTTAAAAAACACGGACAAGCCACCAGATTGAAACCGTGCGGCGGTTCTGGCGCTGGTATCGTGCGGCTCTGACAGAGGGAACAGGACGTAGATTTCCGAGCGTCCCGGGCCTGGACACTTCTGGAATACCATCCCGTTCCATGCAGCGCGGGGGGGACCCGGCATCGCTCTGTCAGGGTCTGAGCTCTGGGTTTACCCCAAAACAGAACGAGATTCCACCGCAGGAAAAAGAATCACGTCATGAGGAAAGTGCAATTGTGTGTTGGCTCGGTGTCGGGCGAGTCCGAGTTTATCTGAGTTTATTTTTGGTCCAAGTCCGATCTCACCTCTGGACTCTAAAACATCGGGGTAAAAAAAACAAACCAACGCCTTGTGGGAAATTGCAGTTTTTATATTTACTCCAGCAGAACTTTTTCGCATGGCAGAACGAAATATTCCATTATATTATTGCATCACTTTTATTTATTCTGAGGTGCAAATTTTTAAAAAGATGCACAATTTCTCACAAGGAAAATCTCACGTAAAAGAGTCCTGTAACTTCCACTGGACACGACCGTACAAAAACTATATGAAGTTACCGTATTTTTCAGACTATAAGGAGCACTTAAAATCCTTCAAAATTCTGGTTGTGTTTACTGACGTTGGAGAGATTTTATGTGACACGTGACGCTCAAAAATCTGTCAAAATGTTTCAGTACGAAGCTGCGACGCTTGATGAATTGTCGGAGAATTACAACAGCTGTCGTCAGGAGCCTCGCGGAGTAAAGCCCAATTTACAGTCATTTAGTCCGACAGAAGCTGAACCGCATCAGCGAACAAAGAGCATTTTTTTCAGAGCTTATAGTTTATGCAAATGAGTCATGTGGTTTTAAGTTTAGTTTCTGTAAAATGTAAACAAATGTGTCAAAGCTGCATTAAAAAGCTGCATTACAAATCAAATAAAAAAAAATAATCATCATAAAATTAAAAAGAGAAAGAGAGAGATTAAATTACAGAAAAGATAAAACACATTCACCACGACATGGAGGCGACGCCGGGCGAGTTACACCTCGATCTGTCGATGGATGGAGGACGCCTGGACTCAGGATCAGACTCAAGTGTCGTCTGTTTGTTTCTCTTAATGCGACTGATGATCCAGTGTGACTGAAGTATGAAAACAGACGAGAGAATTCAACAGTTTTATCAGGGCTGGTGTCATTAAGAACGATACGATACACAGGCCTCGATAAGAGACGTTTTTCAATACAGTGTACTTTCAGTTCAGTACGATTCGATACGATATATTTCAGATCGATTCGATACAGCTCAGTGAAAAAAGGCCAAACCATCACTGTGTTACTAAAAGTCGACTCAGTTTGTGCAAAGTGAATTTGAAAAACACCCATTTTTAATGTCAACACAACTGTGGCTCTTACACAAAAGAATTTAGGTCACGTTTACACTGAAACACATCACTGTAACAGAAACGATCTGCGTCCAGACTCGTCGTTTCTGTGTCCGTTTCCTCCACAAATCTTTGAGCACATTTGTTTACGTTTTACAGAAACTAAACTTCAAACCACATGACTCATTTGCATAAACTATAAGATCTGAAAAAACTGCTGCAGCTGGAGGCACCAGATCATTTCATCTCTGGAGCCATTTTCCATCGGATTAGAGTGAACGAACCCTGTACACACAACAACACCACTCACATACACACTAGTGTGAACCAACACTGTACACACAACAACACCACTCACATACACACTAGTGTGAACCAACACTGTACACACAACAACACCACTCACATACACACTAGTGTGAACCAACACTGTACACACAACAACACTCACATACACACTAGTGTGAACAACACTGTACACACAACACCACTCACATACACACTAGTGTGAACAACACTGTACACACAACACTGTACACACACACAACACACACTCACATACACTACACACTAGTGTGAACCAACACTGTACACACACACTCACATACACACTAGTGTGAACACACTGTACACACAACACCACTCACATACACACTAGTGTGAACCAACACTGTACACACAACAACACCACATACACACTAGTGTGAACACACTACACACTAGTGTGAACACACACACTACATACACACTAGTGTGAACCACACTGTACACACACACACTACACACTAGTGTGAACACACTACACACTGTGTGAACCACACACACACACAACCACTCACATACACACTAGTGTGAACACACACACAACAACACCACTCACATACACACTAGTGTGAACCAACACTGTACACACAACACCACTCACATACACACTAGTGTGAACCAACACTGTACACACAACAACACCACTCACATACACACTAGTGTGAACGAACACTGTACACACAACAACACCACTCACATACACACTAGTGTGAACCAACACTGTACACACAACAACACCACTCACATACACACTAGTGTGAACCAACACTGTACACACAACACCACTCACATACACACTAGTGTGAACCAACACTGTACACACACAACAACACCACTCACATACACACTAGTGTGAACCAACACTGTACACACAACAACACCACTCACATACACACTAGTGTGAACTGGGCCTGAGTATCGATACAGCAGCCCTCGATATCAATACTGTATCACCACATGAAACGATACGATCGATGTTTCAGTAGTTTTGGTGTTGCTCCTTCTGATCTGAAAAACACAGTGTTTTTTATCTTTCTCTTCATCTTCTCCAGTCACGATTTGAACAAACTGTTTAAATTCTTGCCTCTTTCTTGAGCACCTTTCGTGTTTTGTCCACTGAAGGTTCCAGGACGTCTTTCTTCTCCATCAGGTCCGGTCTCCGTCCGGCGTCCCTTCGCACGATAATCGTAACGCGGGTAACAAGCCGCACTCTGATTGGCCGCGTCTCCAAGAGGCGTCGTCCAATCGGATGCACTTATGCAGAAGTGTTGAATCAGCGAGTGTGTGAGGGAAGCGAACCGTCCTGTCGGTTTAGCTCCGCGATATATAAATAGATATATAATAAAATAAACACGCGCACACTTTCAAATCCCCATGTCGCAAAGAATTTAAGTGAAAAAAGCTCAAAAACGTTGAAAAAAAAAAAAGTGCATGTTTTAGTGTTAGTGGCATTTTTCCATAGGTGTAGTTAGTGACAAAGACGCTCTATTGTACAAACTGATGTCAGATACTTTTGTTTTGTGAAGCTCTTTTCAAACCAACCAGCTGTTTCACTTCAAAATCCTCCGTTTAATTTGAAAACCTGTAAAGAAAAAAAAAAACATTTATCACGAGTCGTTCCGAATCGATGTGCCTTGAGCTTTGGTCCGGTCCCAAAAAGTTGCACAACATTCGACATCGTCATCGCCAACGTGACATTTTTATTTCCGCCGCAAAAAAACCCAACTAATGTTCAACTAAAAACAGAAACAGGTCGAGACAAACGTTCACCAGAACCGACGCAAACACCTTCATGAAATGAGCAACACGTTTATTCACTATGCAGTGGTTTTATTTATTTAAACAGGAAAGGAAAGAGGAATCGAACCATCAACCCTTCAGTTCTTGAGCAAACGTGTCCTGAGCCCAACGTTTTTATCATAAATACAGCTAAAGTTTTTCAAACCAATGAGTTTCTCGTTAGCGGCGAACACACGTTTAGTTTAAAATCTGAAACGTTTACGCTCACGGTAGAGATGAGCGATATATCGGCTTCAGTATCGATACAGATTCTTCAGTATCGATCTATATCAGTGCCGATATTTGATATTGATGGTTTTTTTGCGCTGC